CGTCAAATGCCGTCGTCCAGTCGAAGTAGCACCCGGCCGCTGATCTCGGAGGTGTCGGTCACGTCATCGCACGCGGCGCCACCACAGCTGACATTTACTATGTTTCGGGCCTGCGGCGTGAAACGTACAGAGAAAATGAAAGAAAGAAAATCAACCTACGTGCGCTATTACTGTGATGGTAAGACCTGTCGACGCACCAATCAAATTTCCTGCCCTTTCTCCGTTCCTTTAACATCTTCATTCGAATTGCAGTCCTCACCATACGAGATGAGGGCCTTGGGAGCAGGGTGAAGAGGTATGACAAAACAGTGGCGGTGCACGTCTCCGGCCTCCATGAATATTGGGTGTATGCTAACAGTTTCCGCCTGACGCATGTTCACTAGTGTGAAAGTTTCCACCGACTGAGCAGGCCGCATCGATGTTCTCGCCGTATGGCCCCGCTTCGACCTCTCCGCAGTTAGGCCCGTCCCCATCCTGTACGAAGTACTCGCGGTACACCTTGCACAGGCCCTGCGGCTTGCCACACCGGCGCTCGCGCGCCGACTCTTCGAGCACCGCGTGCAGGTCCTCGACGACGAGGTCAGCCGCGTCAACCGCGTCCGGCGATAACTTCGGCGGCGACGGTAGGGGGCGCAGGTGCGGCGTATCGACTGCTCGCAACTGACGACGGACCCGACGAGCCCGCAGAGGACAACGCCAAACCCGAGTCCAAGCTGGAACTAGCGGCCGTGCCCTCAGGCTGGCTCGAGAGCGTGCGTATGCACGGTAACTACGCAGGCAGCTGGCTGCCGAGCTTCGTCCAGTGGAAATGCACGTCGCCCAGGGCATGCGACAAACCCACGGCCATGAGGTGGCCCGTCTTCTTGTTAATGCAAGCGCGCTGTGAGCCTTCCCGCGTGAACGCGTAAACACTCGTCGGAGGGGCTTGATGGTGGCCGACGAAGACCAACACTTGGCGCCTTGATGTTCATACGAAAAGCGCCTGAAAACAGACCTGTATGTCTCCAGGGTGTCGCGTTGAGGCGTTGACACACGCCCGAACACTGGAAGGGCTACCTAAAATAAAATCAGATAATATAGAGGAAATGGGGGAAGGGACCTGGGGGCGCGCGAGCACCCGGAAAGAGGGTACGACTTGGAGGGACGCCCGAAAATGTGCGAAACTGTGTGAGAATGTGCAAAATGGGGCGAAAAGGTGCGAAAAGGTGTGTAATAAAATAAAAAGTGAAGTTGTGGTCAGCGGGTAAATAGACAAACGAGGGATAGAGAACGCCGTCCGCAGGCGCAGGCGCAGTTAGGGTGAGCGGGGAACCATCGTGAGTCTGATTCGCTCGATATGGACTACGAGTACAGGGATATAGTACAGAGCTGACATTACATGGTTAGATCTTTGTGGGACGAGAAGTGGATGCACGAAGGTATCGGAAAGGAAGGATGTAGGATTGCTTGGGGGTGGGGGCGTGCCTACCATGACCAGTATCGCGCGCCGTCGACGGGAACGCTGAATACAAGTTGATAGCTCGTACCCTGCAGACTAGGCTGCCAAAAGTGTTGTTGACCGCACTCGGAAGTGGACCTGCCAGTCTCGTGCGGCTACAGGCTGTAGACCGACTAGCTCGAGGTCGGAGAATGCGATGGCACCGGGGCCCAGCCGCCAACGCGTATTAGGGTTCAGACACTTCGCCGACGATTCCTGCAAACTGCGTTGAGAGGCGCGGAAGCGGGACGCAGAGCGTAGGGTGGACATACATTGAGAAATGCTTGTGTGCAGAGACTGACCCATCTCGCCAGGTCTGCCCGAGTAGTGTTGGGGTGAAGAAAGGTGAAAACCGACCAGGGCTCGTAATCAGGCCACTACATGCCCCGCGTCCCCATAAGCGTCGGATAATCGAGGTAGACGCAAGCCAGAGCACACGCGCACCAAAATTCTCAGAAACGCGAAGCTTTGGCACTCGATAATCTCGTTCGCATCCTTCAGCTCCGCGAACCGCCCGTTGAGCGCGTCGGGACAGCTGATCCCGCAGCCTCGCAGATCAGAAACATAGAACATGACCGATGATGTGTTTGTGCTGGGCAGCTCTTGGTCCTGTGGGGGATGATATAGCATCTGGGGAACGAGGTGCTCTGCACCAGGGTAAATGCTTGCCAGGCCGAGGACTGTCTGCGGCGCCTGGCTTGGCATGGCTGCTGGGTTGATGCGTAGACGCTCGAAGGCGCTTAGTAGTGTGTGCAGCGGTTGGGACGCCGAAACGGGGCCGGTCCTGGCGCAGTGCGCAGTACGATGGGACTTGAGTACCGTCCGTGTGCCGAGTGTGCCGTCATCGCTCTCTGGCTGGCTGCTAAGGGGCGCCTTATCCCCATGGTTGTCTGCTTTGCGGCATAGATGCGACGGGACGACTAGTCCGCTGCCGGCAGCTGGAGTTCTGATGTCGGCGTCCGTCGTAGTGTGAGGCGCGAACATGTGAGAAAGTTCACGGTAGAGATTGGACGAGCTAGGCCTATCACCCGCTTGATCCCGCCAGCAGCGTGTCAACAGAAACCAGAGTGGTTCTGGGAGGACGTGGTTGGCTGTATAACGCGATGGGCGCTTGCCGCGGCAGATAGCTATAGAGGCCGTTATCGCTGGGCAGCTGTGGAAGGGGGAGTCGCCATTGAAAATCTGACGAAGACAGTCAGCCGTAAATTTGTTCAACTTTGGGCTAGCCTTACCGCCCATATACACATTGCGAATGAATGAACATCGCTTTGGGGCGTGTGACGGACATGTTTAAGGCCGTATTCCTCCGGGGACAAAATCTCTGGAGCCATATAACGCGCTGCGCCGGGGGACGCAGAGCTGACACTGGCGGAGGATGCATCCGAGAAATCCGACAGTCCGAAATCTGCGAGGCGAACATGTCGGCCAGCGTCAATAAGGATATTCTTCTAAGACAGCATTCGTTAGGGCTTCACAGATAGAAAATAAGGACGAACCGCATGCAGATCTCCGTGGACAACATTCTTGCCGTGCAGGTATGCCAAAGCTGAAGCTATCTCCACCACCTATGCCCGGCTCCCGGTCACATATTGTAAATTTTGAGACAGGCATCAACACACTCACAAGCCGATTGACCTCTTCGAGGACAAATGAGTACGTTCCGATGAAGTCCATGATATTTCCATACGGCATCCAGTCCGTCACGAGACAAAAGTTTCCTCCGAAAAGTTCGCGGTCGACACCTATAAGTTCGCATACGTTTGGATGGCTGAGACTATGAACCAACGTGATCTCGCGGCAGAACATCTACGCAGACGATGAATGAGCGACAAGGCGGAAAAAGTAGCAATCATGGACAGGACCTTCAAGTGCTTGGACATCTCGAGCTCCTGACGCGTGCAAACGCGCATCGTCTTCAATGCCACGTGACGTGCCCGGTAATAGCCCCTATGAATGTCAGCATACCCTCCTCCAGCTTGTCTCGCGTCTCTGAGGGTGACACCTATGAGGTACAGGCTTTCCGGAAGCTGGAAGGAGGCCATTGACAGTCTGACGCTTATGCGGTGAAGTCGATCTCGGAAGGCGTGTGTTTCCGCATCCGGTGCGGGAAAATTGATCTGTCGAGAGAAGATACCGCGTCCGAATCCACTGGTGTACAAGACCTAAGAGGGCACGTAGTTGATAAATCGGAGATATATATGCTCGCAAATGGCACCCACCGAGTCGGCGAGGGTCAAAAACGAAGCTGCGTCGTCCTCGCGAAGCTGCATTATCTCTTCTCTATCGTAAGACACAGCGTGTTGCAGCATTTTGAGGACATAGCAATCATCTTCCTCCAGAGCTCGCCAGATAGTATCTCGACACGACAGCTTGGAAGAGAGCTGTCTAGCAATCAATAGAGCCCGACCGGTGTGCTCAGGAACCTACTTCGACCAATTTCGAGCGTCGCGATATTGCCTTAGCCAGTAATATGGCGCGATTCGTAGTCGAGATGCACGGTCGCTCGAGCTTCAAGGACAAGTCGTTTCTGCGTGAATCAGCATTAATGGTGTCTGACTGGTCTGACGTGCCATGACGTACGGGTAGCTCACTGCGTGTGTGGACTCGCCCCTCATTGACAGGTCGAAGATGGATTTTGCGATAATTGCTTCCGTTTGCTGCACAGTTCGTCTAGAATAGTAGGCCGTTGAGGCGAGCGTTGACACACCTGGTATATGAGCCCCAATCCAAAGCCCCCTGATTCTACAAAATGCTGAACGACGGGCTGGAAGATCATGTCATGTGTGAGCTTACAGCCAATAGTGCCTGGTTTATCACGCACCTCGAGTCCCAGAGCTTGAAAGCCTACAGACTCTTCCGTGTACTCCTGGTCATGCAGCGCTACTACTCCGCACTGGCTGATCGTAGCCATCTCCTGTTGATCTTCCAAGGTATCGCCTTCGTGGTTTGTAGCCTGGGACATCGCTCCTTGATAGCAGTCGAAGAGTTTTGCACGAAGAGCAGCCGTCTGTGCTCAATGAGGCACCGATGCAAGGATCGACCAAAGAGGTTCAGCGGACCGGCCGACGAGACCCTTATATGGCAATGAGCGCTGTCTGTAATAGCTGCGACAAGGCAGTCGGTAATTGCGCCGCGTAGGAGAGCCCATACTTCGGCTCGATATAGACTCGCAAGCGCAAACCTCTGAGGGTGACGCTATCGACCGGAGAGGGAGGCATTGACCCGTCGTGACGTGGATGGCTTTGAGGGGGTAAGTAGTCGACTAGTCTGTTGGAGGGGAGGCTGAGATAAGAGAGAGAGAGAAGGGCCGACCTAGCTGATGCCGTACGACGAACCGAGGGGAGTAGAGGCAAGTTGTCCTGTTTGTGCGTGTTTGTCTACACGACGAGGCGACTCACATTCCGAGTTGTCCTAAATCGGGCAGCACACGCTTGGATGCCGGCCTCAAGACTTGCTTTCAGCCATCGCGCGCACAGGGAAAGGCTCAGCTTTTCACAATGCACTCAATGATGAAGCTTTGAAGACTTGAGTGTCCTGCAGATGCTGCGGTCGAGGCGTGGCGGTTTTATCATTCAGTCCGTATGACGGGGACCCCGGCATATCCCCTACCAGGTCCTATCCTGATCGGGTATGAAGCACCTCCTAGCACCTGTGCTTCCGAAGTTAGCGGTCACAGTGCGTGAATGTTTTCCGCTTCTCCTACTTGGTGCTTTATCGTTGAAGGGAATGCAATACCCCGCACGCAAATTATATGACTACCTCTCTCATTTTGCGACTGAAGTATTGAAGAGCGAACCCAGGAGCATCAGACTGGGTACGGCAGACACTGGAACTTTTTCCTGGCGTTAGGCTTCGTCCTTGTGCTGCAATTCTGCTTCACTCGCTTATAGCGCTTATATATATAATTTCTCGGGGGCCGGGACCTTACACAGCTGCATGGATGAGACCGTGGAGCTCAAGATCTGGCGGATTTTGTGATTCGGAGTATCGTGATCTTTGAGGCTTGGTTTTTGTCTGAGATCTCCCCACTACAGTAGTAGTCCTAAGCAATTCTCAGATTGGATGCCTTCCCGTAAGGATCTGTAGCGGTTTACAGAATAGATTTCAGATCAAAACGTGTTCGGCACGTCCGGCATGTCAAAGGAGCCGTTGTGTCGGTACAGAGGACGCGGTTACAGACGTCCGATCTGAAAGGGGGGTCGACCCCCCCTTCCAGATTAGAATTTGGTCGTACAGACTGATTTTCGAACTCCGATAAAAGCGCTTAAGGAACGTCTGCCTCGCCTCACACCATGCTCGCGTCGCGCCGTCTGTTTCCCTTCCTCTCTGACCTCTGCGTACCACAACCAGCGACCGCTAGGCACTCAAAGTGCGATCATAGCGTATAGCTTGAGGCGATTACACTTGGTAAGTCTCAAAACCACGCATAAAGACAAAAAATTTATGACAGCAGGTTTCCAAGCCGGCTCATTTGTCGGAACGGTTACAGTGAATCACATTCGGCATACAGTGTGGACGAGCACACGAGGCCGGCCATGCAGGGTGTAGAGAACTGTAAACAGCAACAATGTTGCCTCCCAGGTGAGTATTTCCCCGTGTCCGAGATGTCCCTTTTGCAAACCGGTCAGTTTTTAATGCATTTCGTTGACGTTTCGCAAGCTAGTAAGGACAATGGCAAGCACCAGATGATCAACCTGCAATATCAATGCAAGACGGTTGGCGGGGGATAGAACCTATGAATCCAGTCCTCAAGGTGCACCGTCTCTCCAGCTCGTCTCGCTTCTTCAGCTCGCTCTACCTTCCAGTCAACAATGTCTCCTAATGGACCTCCCAAACAACCTCATGGCACTCCGCCGCCATCAGTGTATGTATCGCCCTCTGGCCAACACTATTACTACACGCTGGACTGTGGTTGGGTCATGTATCTGCCTGCATCTGATTCTGCGCCTCGGGCTCTGGTGAGCCATGTCAGCTTATTTCTCAATCTTCAAGTTGCTGATGGGTTATTTAGCCCCCCGATTCTGCTCCAGGTGTGGCGAGCACGGCTCTACCAGCACCATCACATGTGGTATGCCTATTCACTTCGTACAGAAACTAGTCCTTGCTGATTCAGTCTCAGGCTTATACACACAAACCTGCTGCTTTTATCCCAGATGACTACACTCACCCAGCCTCTCAGGCCCATGCAATTGACGAGGGTTGGGAAGGAGGTCGGCACAGCGGAGGTAGTTTTGGTGTGGACGAGAGTATAACAGTGACCGCAACAGAAGTGTGGTAAGCCCATCGTTGACATCATCCTCGGCCTCGTTCTCAGCTTCTTGCAGCAGGAAGAACTGGCTGAAGTCCATAGCGAAGCTCAGAATGCGTGCGTTGACTGGCGAAAGTAATTTAAAACTCCGATATTTACCCATTCAAATGTAATAAGTAGATATAGACGTGTTACGGTTTTACACGTTCTACAGAATCAGTACGAACAGATTTTTGAAACTCCGGTTTATTCATCTGTATCTTCAGAATGCTTACGGGAAGGCATCCATTAGTTCACCAGCTTATTTCTGATGGTGCCGGCTGAACAGCGGCACAGCGCGACGGCATGATGGCAACTGCGCGACCTGCCTAAGATAGGCTGACTACTAGTGGATGCCTTCCCGCAGCCGTCTGAAGAGGTTTGCAGATTAGATTTCTCCATCAAACCTTCTCGGCATCTCGGCATCTCCGCTGAGCCATTGAGTCGGTTCAGTGCAGAGCGTTTTCAGACGTAAATCTGGAAGGGGGGTCCGACCCCCCCTTCCAGACCAGAATCTACGTTTCCAGGCTCATTTTAGAACTCCGCCGGCGCCCCGTCAGCTCTCGTCGAATCTCGCGCTGTGCTTGTCTCGTCTGTCCTGCTTCCAACTCGCCGCTGTCGCCCTCGTTATTGACCAGAATGTGATTCATGTCAAGTACGTCTATCTATATCTCTATTTTTGTGCTAAAGCTGATCCTTTTCGCAAGCCCGCGCTCGGCATATGGCCGCGTTGTCAGCCCGGGTCAACCTGGGGCACGATCGCATGAAATTAGCGCAAGCAGACAACGACGGCTTATATACACGAAGGTTTGAGCGGAATTCTAGATACTATAGAGCAAAGAAGCTAATCCCATAGTCAGTGACCGTCTTTGCAGTGCACAGGTACATCCACCAATTGACTATGCTAAGCATCATATTGACAGCAAAAGCTCTGTTAGAACAGGCACGAGTGCTCTCGTGGCTTCAACGTCAACACGACAGGGCTTGTAGCAACTGGCATGAGCGAACCAGCAGTGTGTAAAGAAAGGGGACAAGGCGAGTAAAGCTGCAGCAGTCGAGTCTCATGTCCTGAACATTCGCGTCGATGTCTCAGCCGCCTCCTGACCATGAGTTTCCTTGTGCTACCCCCACGCAGGATCTCAGCAATTGGAACCTGCCACCGCATGAATTGACCCAGTCAAGTAGACCTACTCCGGTACATCTCTAATTTGTTCTAACTTGTATATTGTCGTGCTAACAAACTATAGGTGAACGCTCATATAGATGCTTCACAGATGCATCCGCCATTGCCCAGCGGACGAGATCATGTGGATGTCATTGCGGGCCCCGTGGCTTAGGCAACAGCTGGGGCCGACGAAGGTAGCTGCGACGTGGTCATCGGTGACCTGTGTAAGCAACACGAGCTTTATTCGAGCCCACAATGAGTAGTGCAGCGGCGGCGGCTACTAGCAGCGCTGTCTCTTTGATATCTTCATCTTCATCTTAATCCTCTACCTGCTGAAGCCACAAGAGCTCCTCCGGGCTCATGGACAGCGGTCGCGAGCAAAAATAAAATTTTCGAACCCCGCTCATTTAAAATTTGAAGTCCCTGCAGTTTCGCAGACGCTGCAGATTCTAGTTCGGCAGAATTTTAAGGTCCGATCTATTTGTCTGAAAACTACAGATGAGCTGCGGCACCTGGACCTCACTGATCTTGATGCTGATAAGCAGGGCATACCCGGGGGGGTTTGCCCTGCTTGCGAGCAGAGATCACCTATGCGCTCACACTACGTAGGAACTATCCCAGAGGTATCCAATTATCCTTTGGAAGAGGCCCCTCCAGCTTCTAAGTCCTCAGCCCGACGCGCCGACCGGCGCCTCAGCCCATCAGACGATGACGTGACCCTGTCTCGTCCCATCACCGGTCCGCTCCTGCCCTCTCCCGGCTATCCCCCGCGCTAAACGCCCTCCACTATCACTCCCGCCCCCGTGCTCGCTGTCCGCCGCGATGTCTGTGCTCCCTCCCCCGTATCTCGCCCATTTCTCTATAGTTTCTGCCCATTGTCTTTGCCACGTGTATTACATATAGTATTGGCACCTAATTACATGGTTACTATGGGATACATCCTGTACTACAGTGCCGGTCACTCCCAGAGGTGACGGCCAGTGGGCGCTCGAGGGTGGGCAAGCTGAGAGAGCCTCGGGCATAACCGGGAAGAGCCGGGAGCTGCGCGCTGCGATGGCGCCATCGGGCAGACAGTCTCACGATGATGCCATCGCGCAGGCATCGCGCAGGCGTCGTGAAACACCATCACGCAGTCTCGCAATAACGCCATCACGCAAGCACCGTGGTGAAACACCATCAGATACGGCCGCATGGGCGGCGCTGTGGTGGGCCGAGGGCATCTGAGGGGCCTCCCGCCCCACCCTCCTGCCCTGCCCTCGTGCTCTCCCGCCCTGGCAGCCTTGCCCTCGCGTCCGATGCTCTCCTTTCAATGCAGGACAAAGCTGAACGGGCGGGGAGCGATCCAAGCGGGCGTTAGAGAAGGCGGACATGACACGCGCGGTACAGTCGCGTCGCGCCATCAAGAGCGATCGCGGCGCGGCTTCCCGAGGCCTGTTAGTCAATCTGTCACGCGCTTTTGATGGCGCTGATCCCCTGTCAGCGCCACAACGTCTATTGCACACAGTTCAGTTACAAATGTTTCACTGCATATGGAGCAAGTCAATATGACAATGTTAC